TTCATGCAAATGTTTTTCTTTTTTCAGGCAATACTAATCTCTTTTGCTTGAAAGCGCTTTAAAACAATGGGACAGAAGAGACCGATTCGGGGAATAACACCCCCGACTGTGCGAGGGCTGGAGGGGGTTAGAGGTCGCCGGGGTCAGGGATCATTAAGGGCATCTGTGGGCTGACGGGCTGAACCCAAGGTAGCAGAAAATGAACATATGAAGTGATGATGCCTCTGGTGTTGTTGAGATTTTTTGTGTTGTGGTTGTGTGTGTGTTCTAGTGTGTGTGTTCGTCCTCTCACAGCGTGACGTGGAGACCGGCAGCAGGCGGGAGCGGTCAGCTGTAGCTCTTTGTCGCTGGTTGTCCAGTAAAGCTAATCCTATCTGGAATCTGGGAGACGGAGCGGGAAGAGGGAAGGAAACAGCTGCTTCAGAAGGACGCTACAGTTAGCTGAGAGCTGAATTCAAGAGAGCAGACTGTCATGGAAGTAATCAAAACTAGGATTACTCAGGAAAACAAATCAGTGTGTTCATGGAATTACATTTTGTCTGCATGTGGACAAGGAGAAATACTAGATCAATAAATACTTACACATGTCGTTTTCTGTATTTGGTCCATCTGTCAGGCCCTAAGTAAGACTTTCAAACAAAGAAATGTACAGTTAATAAGGTTTATGTTGGTAAAACAAACATTTTAGCCATTTATTCTACATTTTTGTATCTATAAATGATAAAATAAATAGTTGTCTGCTTCAGAAATCCAGTCACAGCGATGTTATACTCCTAAATTCAACCTGATGTTTTGAATTAGGTGCCTGGTTTTCTGACTGAAAAGTTATTTTAAGTGCATTCAAGTGTTCCTTATCTATCAAGCGCTTCACTTAAGAATGTAAACTTCAAAGTATTCCAGTATTTTTGCACCAAAACTAAACTATTGCATCACAAAAGTCAGAAAACACTGTATCAGCCGGCGGCCCCCCCCATCATCCACATCATTACTCCACCGACATCTCACAAAGCCCCGCTAAGCAGCTTCACCCCTGTTGAGGCAACACCACGGTTTGAGTGTGAGGCCTTCCAAAAAAACCCCGGCTCCACTACACATCTACACGCCGGCTGTATGATCCTGGCTTTGGGGAGATGTTTCCCTCAGTGTGTGTGTGTCGGGTCCGTTGCAGGCCACATTCCTCGGACTCAGAGCGGCGTAAAGGGCAGTGGCCCCACTTCACCAGAGGTGCAAGAGGGGGGATGGAGAGCCGAGTGATTGATGGCTGAGGGGAGGAGGCCGAATGATGGACTCAACAGGTGGATGCACCGCTGGAGCATCCAGAGTCCGGCTGCTGCTGCTGACCAGGTACATGAGAAAATAATAACGTGTCAGCAACAATAGTCGGGGAGAAGATGAGTTGGTTTTCGTATTATGACAGAGGAAAACTTGAAACGTGAGATTTGAAAGTTCAGAAACAGAAACAGCAGCTGACAAAACAACCACATGGTCTTTATCAGCATCAGGATTTTAAAGCTCAAATTTCCATTTTTCTAACCACGTTCATCTTCCTGGTGGAAAATGAAAAGCTGAATCCAAAAGCAATAAAAGGTGTCCTTGTTCAATTCAGAGCCCTCAGGGTTCTTTTTATTTTTTGCTGCTGCAGCCCCACTTGACCCAGTGTGACCCGTATTTAGATTAATATGAGTAACTGGCAATATTTGAGGAGGACACTTACATGGTTTGGGCTGCATTTAAGTGCATCCACTGATAAACACTCAAGTGGTGATAAATAAATGTCAGCATTTCCTGCCAGTTTGTGTAGTTTGTGTAGCCGAAGCTGCGTCTTCTTTTCCATGTTGGCTTATAAATAAAGCTCCTGAACAGCCACTACACGGACCTCGTTTTTGTTTCTCTTTTGCTGGCTGTGGCCGTTTAAAGGCCTTAAAAATGCTCAGAAGAAAATATTATTTGAACAGCTGGAGAGCATGTGATATAATCAAAAGCTCCCAGACAGCTATTAAATGCTCTGTGCAGCTGTTCTGGACCTCCTCCTGCCTGGTTTTACAAACCTCTAATTAACACAAACATCTCAGGTTCACAGGTAACAACTGAAAACATCACATTAAACTTTAATATTTTATTCATCTCAGTGAAAACCAAAGACACTAATCGCACTGTTTTCCTCGGACATTTCCTGGCTCCCACATGTCTTGTTCACAAGTGTGCCGAATTTCATGTTGATATGTGAAAGTACTGCTGGATTTGTTGAGCTTCTTTCTGTTATATAATATTGTAAGATCTTGAATTTCATTTGTGAGGTGCCCTGAAGTAACCTGTGCTGTACACATGGTGCACGGGGTTGTAATGTAAATACAAGGCGAGCTGGAAGCTTCTTTCAAACTTATAATTTTACATATTTGCAGCTATAAGAATATGAAAGCTGCATTTGTGTAAAACAGTCTTGAGTTTTGGTTAATGAGCAGCTTTTTACTCCACATACAAACAAACTGTAGACATCAGCGTCCACACAGAACCTGATCTGCTCAACCAGTTTAAACACGTTAAAACTTCCACATACTGAAGGTAGGCACCTGAAACAACAACAAATTAGAGTAAAAGCAAGAAATAACAAGGAAAAAAAAAAAAGGACTGCTAAAGGCGCATTTATCATCATGATAATTATGCCTCTAAAAATAAACAGCGTTTTTCTTCTGGATAACATCACTGTGACTGTAAACAGCATTATTATGGATGGAAATTGTTTCTCAAGTCCGGGGGGAGTCAACGAGACGTGGACTGAGCCGAGTGATGACGACACACGCGTCCCACCGTCTGCGTTAGCGTGGCCGGCTGCAGCACGATGCAGCTCGTGGCACGTTCCAGACCCACTGCTGCCACTCAGTCTGCACTTCCCTGTGAAACCACCCAAACACCTTTCACCTTGAAAGTCATGATGTCATCCTGATCCAGGCGCGATAGGGATCTAAATGACTCCACAGGGAGCAGTTCAGGCCCGACCCCCTCCTCTTCCAGTCACTCTCTGGGCCGACAGCAAATCACCACCAGGAGGCCCGGCCTACATTCTCCGATGTGGGCCAAGGTCGCAGCGCTCACCTTTGGCCCACAAGAGCGGGCTGAGCTCGGGAGAAGATGTTAAGGTCATTAGAGCTCGACGCTCCTGCTAGAAGTCACACACAAGAGCAGCTTCAGTTTCTGTGGAACCACAAGTTGTGCGTCAGCAAAACAAAACACTGGATCGCGATGAAAAGACTGTAATCAGGTCGGATCACTTTCTCCGCTACCGTCGGCTGCGACTGCCAGCAGCCGAGGTTCTGCCAAGTCTTTGTCTTATGACACAGGAGATGGCCCGACTTCCTCTTGGATCTGCATCTGGAATCAAACGGATTTAGGTCTTTCCAGCCTTTTTGCCAATACGTTTGGTATCTCAATATCTATGATAATAACTCAGATCTGTATATAAAAATTCTTTGTAGAGCAAATGTGTGCTTTGGTGGCGTCTGAGCCACCTGCCACAGAGGACGGGAGCAGGTGTTCTGCCTCAACAGATGTAGAACTACTGGGTTTAATACGGCGTTTCACTGTTGGTATAAGTGCAACGTCTGTTCATTTGTCCAGTGTTTGAGTTAAGAAACTGCAATAACTTGAGCAGGTTAATCAGAATAAGTTTCAGTCCTTCTTTTTCTCATATCGTCCAGTCTAACATCCATCATCCATACACCACTTAATCCTCACCAGTCTATCAGAGGGCTACACTCCTCCAAATCCATCCATCATCTATACAACTTAATCCTCACTAGGGTCATGGGGGGCTGGAGTCTATCCCAGCTGACTCAGGGTGAAGGCAGGTTCACCTGGACAGGTAACCAGTCTATCACAGGGCTACACTTAGAGACAGACAACCAAGCACACTCACATTCACACCTACAGACAATTTACAATCACCGATTAACCTCAACATGTTTCTGGACTGTGGGAGGAAGCCGGAGAACCCGGAGAGAACCCACACTACACGGGGAGAACATGCAAACAGAAAGATCCCGCGTGTCCTCACGGGGACGCGAACCGGTGACCTTCTAGCTCCATATATATTCATAGCTCCACATGCAGTCATATTCTACTATTGATCCAACACAACTGCATTTAAAAACAAAACAAACAAACAAAAAACCACATTGCAATGTCTCGTGAATAACTGATCGTTTGTCTTCACCATATTCCTGCAAATATGTACAATTTCTGTGCATTTTGTGTTAGAATTCTTTGTTTTAATCTATATTTTAGTTAATTTTTCAGTGTGTAAGCATCCAGACTTTTGCTCAGGGATTAATAAAGCTTTCTTAGTTTATCATCGTTGCCTCAAAACATGTTAGCTCAAAGATACTGCCTACTTTCTTGGCTAAATTTTTGTCTGGAGTGGCGGGAAAATTTGTGTCATTTAAATATCCCATTTATTAAGTGTGGATCTGTATACGCAGACATTTCCATTATTTTAACTGATGGTCCCACCATGACGAACCTCAAGGACAGATTCTGTCTCCTTTGCCTTCATCTATATTCAGTTTTCTCAACTCGTTTGTTCGCTGCAGTATTTGAAGAACAAAACTGAATGATCACGATGCTTAAACAATTGCTTTGAATTCATCCACAGTCCCGAGACAATAAAAAACTGGTCCGGAAATGAAAAAGAAAATCAGCATCAAAGCCGGACAGGCGACGGTCCCAGACCTTTGTGAAAGTAAAATAAAAGCACGGCAGGAAATCCCCGAGGATGGCAGGACTTCTCATTAAAGGCCTGAAAACCACAAGTGCGACCAAATTTGAGATGAAAGGTATGAAATTCAAAGTATATAAGAGGATAAATAACACCTGAGAAATCAAGGTAAACACAGGACGATCCGAGCATTTAGGTTGTTTAAAATGATTTATTAATCACGTTTAAAATGTGATATTAACTGCTCACATACAGACAGAAATAAAAGACGGAAATTTAAAAACAAAAAAATCCACACATTTACAAAAACACTGTACAATATACACACAAAACCGATTAAGACCTTTAAAAACAAAAACAAGTTCTGGTGACTTCTGATGCGAACAGCTGCAGATCCGACGGCGTCCAAACCGACACTCAGACTCCTGATCTGTGAACCTTCTCATGACAGCAGAGTGATGAGCGCGTCCAGGAACTTGCTTCTGTCCTCCGACTTCAGCTCAATTACTGCAGAGAGAAAAACACAGATAAGAAATAAGAGCACGAAGAAAATGCGAGAACATCCATCATCCAGCGACATGTTTTCATTGGGAAGGTTTTCGGCAATTAGTCTGAAAACTCGTCAGCGTTGTGTATTAGTGAAATCCAGATGGAAGCCGTCCAGTGTAAATGTTTGAGGGAACAACTAGAAATATTATTTTACGCAGGGTCGATGTGTTGCAATGCAAGCATCTCAGAAACACACAAGTCATGAGTGTCACCGCTGACTGCTTCATCAGGTCGGACGGACAACAGAGTCAGACAAAGACAACTCTGCCACCTAGTGTCTGCAGAGGAGACTGAAATCTATGCTCACTTACCTGAAGTGTCGAAATGGTCGTGAAGAGTTCTGGAGCTGGTGCTCTCTGCGGCTTTTTCAAACGCTCGACCAAAGAAACTTAGAAGACAGAGAGGAGAGGGTTGAGGAAACGAGGCAACAACTGTTCTATACATTAGAGAACAGAGAGAAGAGGAAGAAATCAGACCTGAAATAATTAGTCAAATGGCAGAATAATCCATCCATCCATCCATCATCTATACACCACTTAATCCTCACTAGGGTCATGGGGGGCTGGAGTCTATCCCAGCTGACTCAGGGTGAAGGCAGGTTCACCTGGACAGGTCACCAGTCAATCACAGGGCCACACTTAGAGACAGACAACCAAGCACACTCACATTCACACCTACGGACAATTTAAAATCATGGACATATTTCTGGACTTGTGGGAGGAAGCCAGAGAACCCGGAGAGAACCCACGCTGCACGGGGAGAACATGGAGACTCCACGCAGAAAGATCCCGTGTGTCCTCACCGGGACGCCAACCAGCGACCAGCTAACCACCGAGCCACCTTGCAGCCCCAAGAGAGAGGGGAGGACCTGCAGCAAATGGACATGAGCCGGACTCGAACCCACGACCGCTGCGTCGGGGAACTACAGCCCCTGTTCGTGGGTCGCCCGCTGGATTAATTGGATTAATTGTTTAAGCAACTTGCAGCAGATGTTTCTGCTTCTCTAATGTGAAGATCTGCAACTTTTCTGTTTCCTAAGATGACATAATAACAATAGTGTCGTTGGGGATGAACAGTTCTGATATAAAGTCTGGTATCAGGCCTTGAAGAGCCCTAAAGGAACTTATTATGCCTATTTCCAGCTTTATATTGTTATTCTCCACTCGAGTAGTTTTGCATGATTCACAGTTTAAGAAAAACCAACATTTATCTAATACCGGCCCTTCATGCAGCCTCTGAGCACGTCTTCTGTCTCACTGAAGGCCCACTTTCTATTGATTGGACAACTTCTGGAAGCCTGCTGAGTGGCAGCACCCAGTGTTTGATCTGGTCCGTCTGTACTTCGTGGGCATTTTGTGCCTCGAGCAGATTATAAAATATTAAATGACAAGCCAACATCAGCTCGTCACTAGAGCAGAATAAACCTTTGCACATCTAGTATCGAGAGCTGTCTGAAGTCTGAGCTTTTGACTCACTTCTACACATGTTCAGATCATTATTGGACACTTAGGCCACTTTTCATATGAACATCCACCAAAAAAGCATAACAAGTCCCATTTAAAAACAAATAAAACTCAAAAAAATCCAAACCTAATAAAAATTTATAAACGAGTATCCAGTGCAGTAACGCCTAAAGTAGTGCGATGTGGCCTCTCTTCCTGGTTCTAGTTAAACGTCTAGTAGCAGCATTCTGTACAAGTTGAAGTGCGTTCAGTGATTTCTCATTTACAAGAACGCTGCAGAAGTCCAGTCATGATGAGACAAAGTCGTGTAGAACGATTTCTGCATCTTTCAAACATAAAACTGGTGGAACCTTGTGAATATTTTTACATGATAAAACAGAACAAGGTTGCTGATGTGATGTTCAAAGCTGAACATAAAACAGACTCAGTTTGAATCTGAAGAATCTCAGTTTTGTGAGTAGATTAAAAAAAAAAAAGAGGTACGCAGTCCTTCACCTCTGAAAAACATTTAACTGAACCTCTACGGGCCTGGAGATGTCTGAATAAAAAACTTAAATATGACCATTTCTATTTGAGTAAATGTAAGTAAGCTGTATTTTTTACTAGTTTGCTTGCTTTGCATGAAAACTATGAAAACTGTGATGATGAAGACTGATGACAAAATGCTCTTACTGCAGTGTTAATGAATGATAACAGCATCACAGTTTGAATTATTTCTCATAACTTGCTGTCAACATGGAACGTTCACCTTTATATCTAAAATGTTTCTGAAATTATGTTTTAAATGAAAAACCACAGTGACAGCAGTGATATAATTCAGATCACCTCATCGTTTCTTTGATAGGAGCCATTGTTTTGAGATCTTACTTTTTCTTGTCGGACGTCTCAGACTCTGGTGGGATCCCGACAACAATGACGGTTCCTTTGTCCACGTCCTTGGGAGCAGCCATGATGAGCGGAAGCAGCTTGCAGCGTTTATTCCTCGTCTGCTCGACAAAGACACCGAGAGAGGAGGATTTAATAGCTTGAGCAGCTGATTTCAGTCCTCTCTATTCACAGTCTGCATCCACATACTCACCGAATGGACAAAAGCCTTCAGGAGGTACTTGCAGAGCAGAGTCAGGGCCATGGGCTTTGAAAAGAGCTTCACATCAGGTGTTCCCTACAATGAGAAGCAGGAGGAGGAGGAGGAGAGGAGTCATCTGAGCAGGATGTACTGGTATAAAAAAGGCCACATATATCAGGCATGCAGGTGTTGGTACCTCCATGAGGTAGCAGTAGAGGAAGGGTCCCTGCGACAGGATGAGGTTGGTGCAGATGCAGCTGGCGACAGTCTGCTGGACGGCCATCAGCTTCTTCTTGGCCAAGTCGATGCCTGAATGCAGGCGTTCAAGGTTACTCCTGCACAGACGGAAAAAAAAATACTGAAGCAAATGTTTCTGTAACCTGATCATAAACATTTCATAACTTTAAAAAAGAATGGGAAATGTGATCATGATATAAAAAAAAAAGAGCCAGCTCAGTCTGTGGCTGCCCCCTGGACTCCATTGAGGTGGTGGGAGAGAGGAGGGCACTGGTCAAACTGTCTGCTATCAGAGGAAACACCTCCCATCCTCTGCATCAGACTGTGAACTCCTTAAGCAGTGCGTTCAGGGACAGACTGCTGCACCCAAAGTGTAAGAAGGAATGTTTCTGCAGGTCCTTTATTCCAGCATCAGTCAGACTTTACAACGCTGCATTACAAACTCCACGAGCACCTCTGTTACTGCTGCAGTTTTTTCCACCAACAAACACATTCCACTATGTGCAATAACTGTTACTGTCTCATCTTCTGCATATAGTCTTCCTAAAAAAAAAAAGAAGAAGAACTTCTGTATGCAATGTTTTCTCTTGCAATTTGCACTGTGTGTTTCTAAATTATTCTTGCACTGACTTCACACTTTTTCTTTTGGAGCTGTTGTAACAGTGAACCTTCCGCACTGTGGGATCAATAAAGATTATCTTCATCTTTATCAGGATTATCACCAGTAAACTAAAAACCTCTGCTTCCTCTACACACCTGGACAGGGCGTCCAGAGCCTTGATGAAGTTGTCGCCGTCGCTCTCGTCTTTCTCGGTGCTCTCCAGCAAGGCAGCAGCAGCGTGAACCATGTCGCTGGCCAGGAAACGGTTCTTAAAGCCAAAGTGAACGCCAAACGTCTGGATGCGGATGTCCTTCATGCTGATGAAGAGATACAAAGAAAGAGGGACTCGTAAAGGAAGCTGAACGACAGCACGTCTCTCTGTAAGCCTGGTCCAGATTCATACCCGTATTTATTAGAGGACTCTTCAATGACGTCCCTCAGGTTCTCTTTGATCGACATGTCCATGGAGTTAAACTTCTGTCGCACTTGTTTTAGAGGCAGCCTGTTGAAAGCAACACACTGAAATGTTACATCAGAAACCACTTCACAAAACAGCACCTGGTTCCTTAAAGCCACGTACCCCATGTCAGCCAAGAACTCCTGAAGCTTCTTCTGGCCGTTTAAGGTCCAAAGCTTGAAGCTGCAGGAGGTGTAACAGGAATTACAAATGCTCTCATAGAGGGACCAGTGCTGGTAGAGTGTTAGACGAAGGCTGGAGCAGAAGGTTAAGAAAAAAGAAAGTGTGATTCCTGTCGCTGCATTAGAATTCTGGTGAAACAAGATGAAGATCCACTGAATGACACGTCAGGAGAATGAAGGATACTCGTATTCAAATGAGATCCTCATACAGTCGATTGAAAGAGAGTTTTCCTCATCCTCGTTTCGGTGGTTATGCCGGGAGACGTGTCGCTGCATCGTGGCGATGTCTGTTACATACTTCATGCTGCAAGAGAAACGAGGCGAACGAGAACATGTGAGTAGACGACTCCAGCAGAGAGTTCCCCAAGATAATGCAACGCTTTTGGAAACTAACTGGATAAACTCTGAAGACGTTCTTACTGTGTGATTTTATCGTGAACCCACTGGTCTGTCAGCCCGATGATGGCCCACCTGCAGGAAAAAACAGCCGACATGTCACAGTCTGTACGGAGCATTAGAGGTACAGCAAACGATTATGTTTTCAATTCATCGATCAGCTGTTGGTCTATAAAGTGGCAGAAAAATGTTGATCAGTGTTTCCCAAAAGCCAAGATGTCATCCCCAAATATCTCTAAAGACATTCAGTTTATCGTCACAGCAAAGTAACCCGAAAATATCCAGATTTAATGAGCTGCTCAGAGGATTTGTTTACTTTTTTTTCTTTAAAAATTATGCAAAATTAATACTCACAGCGAAACAGTTTGCAATTATTTCAACAACTAGCAGCTAATCAATGAATCGCTGCATTGCTACGATTCATTTTCAATAATAAAAATAAAATGTCATCAGATAGCTCACCAGAGCATGTCCTTGGTGTCTTTAGTCAAAACCCACGCCAGCTCAAAAAACATCATCGCAGCCTGACAGAAGAAACACACGAAACCCTTCAAGAGCTCATCCAGAAATAACAAAACGTGTGCAACAAAAGTCAACAGAAACACAAAGTGAAACTTCAGATGTGTGTTTTTATAATTTCATAGTTTTGTAAAAGCCTGAGTTCCTTCAAGTTTCCAGTACTCAAAATAAAAGCTGTTAACTCACAGACGTTCCGTGGTATTCATACTGCTCGTAGTCAAACAGGATCTCCCTCCTGTGAAACATCAGCAGGAGTTTAGTCGATGCATTAAAAAAACTAGATGCCATGAATTAATTAAAATACTTCACCTCCGGCCCTCCCACTCTCTCCTCGCTCGCTGTCTTTCGATTCTCCTCTCAACTGCCCCCTGTGATGACACCATCAGTACAGTTTAGTCGACACTCCTCGGCTTTATTTCTGCTGGATCTGCTGAATCTAGTGAAAACCTACTTCATCGAATCTCCTCCGTTTGCCAGACGGCTCCGAGCCTTCGTCGCTCTCGTTTCCAGAGTCATCTCCTTCCTCGTCATCGTCTCGAAAGATATCATCGTATGAAGGCACGCCCAGGTCATCGTCCTGCTTGATGAGCAGCTTTATCTGTTGGAGAGATGACAGCAGTTCATATGACATTCACTATACAAGCAACATAAGGCTGCAATGTAAAATCTTCTTTTAGCTCTCTTAAAGCAAACTTCAGGTGCTAAAGAATTTAAATTAACAGATGCAAGAAGAAATTCAAAAGGATAAACACTGTAAATGTTTTCCAAGGCTGTATTCTTACTACAGGAATCTAAACTTTGAACTGATCTGTAAACATCACCTGGGTGTCATTGTAGACGTTGACCACATCTACAGGCCGGTGAGTGTCACAGATGAAGAAGATGGAGTCATCATCCGGCTGCAGCATCTCCAGGAGGTCAACATTTGCCCCACAGTTGATGAGAACAAAGTACCTGAACTACGACACGACATAAACCAAATTAGTACATTTATTTCAGAGTGAAAAGTCGCTACGGTTCTTTATTATTTAACCTTCTGTCATATATTCGTGTGTCAGCTCAGGTCTTATGTGCACCTGCTCTTTGTGTTCAAGGAAGGCAGTGCCAAGGTCCTGCCAGCCTTTAACTGGCACGAGTGTGTACTGGATCTGGTCACAGTGAAACAGCGCCTACAGGAGAGACAAAAAGATCGTGAAAGTATTGTGTAATTCACAAGTTCCTCCTCTGAGAGCTCGGGATAGATCGATGATCAGCCTGGCCTTGTCATTAAGCCTTTTTCTGATTATCTGTATTGTGAAAGTAAAATCAGCCACAAGCTCTTAGGTGATCATTTATTATCTGTTTTCCCTTTTATGTACATTTGTTGTTCTGAAACTATTCGGTGTGAGAAGAGTTACCTGATATAGATTAAATATAGAAGAGTCACCTATGGGTCAAAAAGGTTTGAGGTCAACCAGAGAAGCTGTTTACCCCTAAAAAGACAACTTCAGGTGTCTTACATGGTTTGGACATGATGCCACAAGGCTTAAACTTACAGTCTACTTACAACAAGCCAAGAGGAGAAGAGTTTGTTCATTATAAATGCGGGGGGAGAGAGAAGTGACATAATTAGAACATAAACATAAATAAACAGGCATTTGGAGTTTTGTGTTGCCATTTGTGTTATTCTAATTTTTGTGCGATTGTATATAGATCTCAAATATCAGTTCTCTGTCTCCTTTAATACTAATAGTTGGTATGAGCCTTTAAAAAAAATAAAAAAAATTCTGTCAACTTCAACAAGATCCTTGAATATTAAATTACTGTCTAAAAAGGAAGTCCTTCATAGGAAAATATGGAAGCAAAGATGAACCCTTTTATTTGCATTTCCTGCATGTATTCATGAATTGATCTGACAAGTAACACATACTAAAGGTAAATACAAACAGTTAAAAGATAAACAGAGAGCAACAATATAAATGTGGCATCATCTCAGTATAATATCCATCAATTATCTATACAACACTTAATCATCACTAGGGTCACGGGGGGCTGGAGTCTATCCCAGCTGACTCAGGGTGAAGGCAGGTTCACCTGGACAGGTAACCAGTCTATCACAGGGCTACACTTAGAGACAGACAACCAAGCACACTCACATTCACACCTACGGACAATTTACAATCACCAATTAACCTCAACATGTTTTTGGACCTTGTGGTAGGAAGCCGGAGAACCCGGAGAGAACCCACGCTGCACGGGGAGAACATAGAGACTCCACGCAGAAAGATCCCGGGTGTCCTCATCGGGACGCGAACCGGCGACCTTCTAGCTGCGAGGCAACGGTGCTCAGTATAATATGCAGCTCATAAATGCAGGAGATACAACCGGCAGTATTTAAGTGTCCAAGTTTAACACTTTCCAGTTTGTTTCTCTTCCACCCAATGACACACCAAATGCAGCATCAAAGTGCAGTCACATTACGAAGTTATTACACACAAGAATTTATTATACTAGAAGAACAAATACCTTCCTGTAGTCACTGTAAATAAAAAAGACAAACTACAGTTGGGCGAAAGAGCTCTACTTAATTAGTATTTAGTCAAACAAAATACAAGACAAAAATCTGAATCACAGCTTGAAACAATACATTTATCAAATTGCACAGAATGAAATTTAAGATATATAGGATTAATAGTGTGTTATTATTCTCACATTATTTAACCTTAGCTGTGAATGACGCACCTGTTTCAATGTCAGAGATTTATTACAGAAAGGTTCTGTTATTCTCTTGTTGAAATTAATATTATTACTACATTATTAATTTAACTCAACACAGCTCCAGCTTCTGTGCCAACTGTTTTATCTCCTGCGCCATTTTTCTCTTTAAATCTTAAAGTTCTCTTCTTTGCATTACAACATAAAACACTTCATATTTTGACATCGCAAATTAGATATTTTTCTCAGTTCGTTCAGTGTAAGCTGGTGGTCACAAATAGACACTAAACACATGTATATTTAAATCAAGGTGGACTTATGATCTCACTCTGTGCCAACAGGAGTTGATGATAAAATGAAGCCAACAACAAGCAGCATTTTGAGCCCCAACAGGAGCTAACGCTGGCTAACAGGTGGCACATCATCTCACCTGGAGGATCTTACAGGCGCAGAGAGCGTCGATGTCTGAGGCCACCAGGAGTGCGACTCTCTGAAAGACAAGAAATATAAGTTTACAAACCAAAATAAAAGCCTTGCGACGCGAAATGATAACTGACGTGAACCTACCGATTAGCTACGTAACGTTAGCCGTCCACGGTTCGAGACAGCTAGCTAAACAAATGCTACAGTTAGTTCAAAAAAACGTACCTGGTTGGCAACAACTTCGTAAAAGTCCTTTCTTATGTCCGCGATAAACATTTTCCAGTATCGGCTAAAAACTTCTACGATGAGACAAGCAGGGTAAAACGGGTCTATAGCGGCATGAAGAGCGACTTATTTTGGTTTGCTGTCAGGCTCCGAGCTGCGTCGCTCTGTTCCTGTTGGAAATGTGGCGCCAAATCCCCACGTCACCTCCGACCAATCAGGTGAGAGGAAACCAGCGTACGTCACAGGCCGGAAGCCACGCCCACCACGCTGAGAAAACAAAGCTGTGCAGAAACAAAGAAGACAAACAAGCAGACAGAAGGCTGCACAGAGCGAAAATAAAGAGGGATTCCTGCAAAATACGCTTTTTAAAATCATGATTTGTGTTTAAACTTTGGAACAGAAGTTACATTTATTATGTTTTGCACACTTGCGAGGGATGAATGAACTTCTCAGCCAGGCCTAAAGTAAAGATTTAACAAATACAAAGGCAGAGATGGAAAGCAACTAGCTGCCCAAATATTGTACTTTGCTTTTCCATTTTATAATCTGGAAAAGTAGTATTTTATGACATTTTGTAGGGTTTTAATTTATAATATGTAGATTGCTCAGTTAGAACCACACCATAAATAACACCGAGTCTTGACCCCAATATTCAAACCTGTTAGGTTAATTTATAATGCCAAACATAATCTTTATATATATATGTTGCCTCTACACACGGTCATCAAGCAGAATATGGAATAATTCATTTAATAAGTGACATGAGATTATATTGACATAGATTTTGGATTTTCCACAAAATATTATAAATGATCTCAGTTTTAAAATACTAGTTCTGGGTCCTCCACCCGTCAGAACCTAAAAACACCGACGTGATCAATAAACATTTTCTTAATAATACAAGTGAAGCTAATTAGACAAACTGAATTTTATTGAAACTTTGCATGATAACCTTGTTTGTACCAGAGCCTTCTTTTATTTCTGTCACCACATGAATATACTGAAAATACAACTTTTTCCTTAATTCCTGCCCACATCCACAACTCTGACCACAATACTCCATTAAATTCATCAGTTTAATCAGAATGACATGCTTCAACGAGGAGACAGGCGGCGAGAACGGTGACTTGAATCTGAGAGTTGACATTCCCTCCTGTTGAAATACATACAAACACACCAGGAAACCGCTTCCCAGTGCAGATCTACAAAGAGAAGAAACAAACCGCAGCTAGAAAACAGAACATTGTTGCTATTCTACAAACGCTCATTGCTGCTTCACAATTTGTTGTGCATATTTGTGTCTCTGTTTTGTCACCAATTAACCGTCACGTGTATCGAAAACCGGGAGTCAAAAGAGCAAAGGACCGTGTGTATTATGTAAGGCTATTTCAAAACGGCATTTAGTGTCACAAAGAGAGTCACTGAAAGCATCACAACGTGGACAGCAGCTACTGTGTGGTCGTGACGTAAATAAAGCAAACAGGCAAAGTCTGAGTGGAATCCCGTGTCATGATCTGAAGGAGACTAGACGTGATCGAACAGTGTGCCGAGAACCACGTAAACGAACAGCATGGATGGAAGTCATGAGGAAAACGTGTTGCTGTTGAGCTGTGAACATGCAGGATTTTATCAAAATGCAGCAAAATCTAACAAACTTTTTCATTTTTTTTTTTGTCTTAAAGCTCCCCCAGAAACCTGCGAACCCACGAATACGACTCCCGTTTTCACGATCTTAACATTTAAAGTAACAAATATTGAAAATTCAAGTAAACTCCGACATGCCCCCCCCAAAGTTAAACACATCTTAAAAACACCTGCAAGACTGAGCGAGTAAATTCAGATGTTGTTCGTCTTAAAGGTCCCAAAGTAAAAGTTTTCCTTTAACCCCTCGGTTGTAACTGTTAACACTCACCGCACAGAAATCTTCACATTTGACTCCATCGACAACTAAATTCATTAAAAGTTTTTTGTTTTTTTTTCTGAGGTAAAGAAAGGCAGCATGCCACATTTAAAAACTAAACAAGTGAATCCTATACACAGGAAAATATTTAAAAGAAAAAGATTGAGATAACATAACGGAGAGCATACACTGTAACATGCAGCATACACTTCATTCTTTAACTCAGAGTGATGTAAACAAAGGCACAAAGTCATGATATTTTCTGCCAGGTTTGGTCTGAAGCCGCCGCCGCGAGTCACAGCGACGAGCAAAAACAAATATGAGGTTTGAAGGTTCCCCTGGAAAAAACAGGAAATGTAACGTGTACATTTGAAGCCATTTCCGAAACCAACGGCGTGAGCATAATGAACTGAAAACAGAGTGACAAAGGAATCAAACCATAAACGGTAGCATTCACGGATTTAAAAATAATAAAGACACCAAACTTCACGTGCCAACTATTAACAGGATAATAAAACCCGACCAGCAGGAGCGCTGGGAGGCTAGCACCATCACCCGGAGAGGTTACGGTCCAGGTACATCAGGAGGATCTGGTTCCACCACGTCTCTCTCCACTTCTGGTGAACATTCAGGACGGAGCCGGCGTGCGGCTACGAAAACCAGACCTGCAGCGAGCCTGAGACCACAGACGTTTGTCTCAGGCTAACTCGTGATGGGATGTGCTGTCTGGTTAGATCAGAGACGAGACGACGGTTCAGAGTACAGGAGGCACCGGAGAAACACAAAGTGGTGCCGCTCAGGATGCGAGACTACGTGATAATAGCTCTCCAGATGTTTGTCAAGAAACTGAATGCAAACATTCAAAATCTACAACAGGAAGACGGAAAGTTAAAGCACTAGTTGTTTTAGATGAACCTGCCTTTAGATGGAAGTGAGGTGGGCAACGTGACGACACAGGTTTAGAAGTGTCCGACTGAAGGATAAACTACAATCGTTCTTATCGTCAACGAATCCCATGAAAGAGCAAAAACAACTCTGAGAGATTTATTCCCTCTCTGCCGCACAGCTTCACTCAAAAACTACTTAAAATGTGTAAAATAGCTCCAAGTTAAAGAAGTATTGAGTCATTTTAGTCGAAAACTACACTCCCACCCAGTAAAAAAAGAAAATGATTTAGTTTTTAAGGAATAAAACGACATATTTCTGACTACGTTTCATATCTGCAGAACGGATTTCTGGTTTCCTTCATGGGAACAAAGCGACAGAGTACTGCCCCCTTTGCTCTTTAATAGGAATTTAATTGGCCGTTGCTGCTTCGAATCACTTCATGGCAGCATTAGTGGATTTTAATTTGCAGGCTTAACAAACACATTCTTATCTTTATCTGATCTTTTTGTTTTGTTGAAAAAAGGCATTATCACAAGGTCCATATCGCCCACGCAGACGTCTCTCACTTGACCGGTTTTCTTTTGAGTAAACTAAATATTTTATGGTGAAAAGAATCTAAGCTCAAAGAACCACTTGGATTTTTGGATTCGTCTGTGAACGCAGCGGGCTCACGGGTCGTCACGTGAGCTTAGACGTGAAGTTCTGAGACGTGTGCTTGTGCTATTCCGATGCTTTAACCAGCAGGATAAATAGAAGTTTGACCCCAGCTCGTGGTGTTTGTTCTGCCTCCAAAAGACCAGAAAATGTGGCTCGAACTTCTCAGCGAGCAGCGTTTTGAGCTTTGATCTTATTCACCATAGATTGTTCCTAAAGGTCAACAATGAACATCCATGCGCAGAAACCAAATACAGCATTCGGGTATCTTCCCTCGAGCCTGTTTTAAAAAGTTTACAAAATAGTGACCTTACGCGAGAAACCGTTTCACATCAGCTGAGCCAGGGATCGATGGGCAGTGGACTAAATAGTGCAGTGGTCGTGTTGTTGACCTGCTCAGCTGTTGTGAGGAGTTCTATGTGATCTATAGGCACAGTACACAGCGTGTGCAGAGCTGGGCCACGTGGGAAAACAACTCCATGACAACTAGAGGACCTCTAAAGTCCATCCAGCCAGGATGTAATGACATCTTTCTAGGTGTACACTTCAGGTGGTGTGTGTCGCTGACGTCCACCGCGTTGGACTGTTGCTGTGCTAATGCAGCTCTCAAATGTCTCAGAAAGCATTCAAGAGAAACCTGACTCCCTAATTACTTTGTAGTTCAGAAAAAAACAAACTGTGTCACCATACAAAAACTAAACTCCTACAATACAGTTACAATGACTGATGCTAAAGAATAAATACTGATATGCTGCCCAGCCCTAGAGATATGACAACCAGAGTAACCCGGTAAAAATGACACCAGTTAAGAGAACGATGCAGTTACGGCGCGTCTACAGGGGCAGGATGTAGTTGGAGTTGGCCAGCTTGCGCTCCTGTGCGGCCGGAACAGTCTCTCTGTGACGCAGAGGTCTGTGGCAGTCGGGGTCCTGGAGCGGAGGGTAATGCTGCCGGTAGCAGAGCCAGGCGAAGGAGAGGCCCAGCAGAGAGCCCACCAGCACGTCTACAGAGGGAGACAGACGGTAACGCGCATTAAGACCTGAACAGCGAGTTAGTACGGCTCTCTGCATGACACGTGTGGTTGTATGAATTTTATTCCTTCCTGCTTTTGTTAATGTTTTACAGTCAGTCAACAGTTTGGTTCCTTTTTTTTTTTTTCGACCCCAGTGAGCTTAAAACAGAGAAGTGGCCGCACCATGTGGACAAACTCGAGTGTAATAACGGCTGCAATTTTTTTTGTGTGTGAAAAACAAACATCACAAATTCTCAGGGTGCTTTTTAAAATTGGAATATTTTGTCTCTCCATTAATAATAATAATTAAAAAGAACATCAAATATAACAATAAATACAGTCGCGACTCGATAATCCGACACTAAATGTAAAACCTTCTTTTTTGTAATAAAGGGCCAGAAAAACTCATTTCAGTTACTCAAAACTGTTGTTTTTTTCTCCGTTTTAGAGCCTTTTACTAGCAGGTCAATTCCTATTTTAATTCCTAGAAATATTAGCAAAACAAAATAATGTGAGGAGGAATTATTTAACAATAATTTAAAAACTTTTGGATCTACTGGTCGACTCCACCGTCTATAACTCATGAACATTGTAAAGCACTTTATTTTTTCTTTACATGATGCATTGGTCAGACTCGGCACAGCTCCTGCTTCCACACATGATTTTTATTTGATTTAATGCTGAGGCGTGCTTTTCCTCTGACCTTGCCAGTGATGTTTGTAGTCGCAGGTTCTGGACAGGGCGATGACAGTCGCGATGAGCAGAGGGGTGAGGAAGGCACACAGCCGCCACGCTCGGCCTTGTCCAGCTGAAGTGAAGCAGCGCAGCTTTCCTGCGATGTACAGCGCCGTGAAACCCAAACCGGCAAACGCAACTGGAACCGAGGAGAAAGGATGGAGAGGGTGATCAGAGCCAGAGGACGTTTCTGACAGAAGCAAAGCAAAGAGAGCTGCAGCAGGGATCAAGAGATGCTTTTTAGAGCAACACAAGATGCTCTCTTGCTCAGGCAACAAAAGCCTGAAGGCAAAAACACACTTAAATGCATCTATTTTGAGATGTCGGCCATCCTGCCTCACTTTGTGCACTTATTTGCTTCTCTTGTTGAAAAACAAAGCAGCTACGCAAACACATTTGACCACAGCAGCCTCTTACAGGAAGAGTGTCCGCTGGGAAAGCTCTTTCTGCCCTCGATGACCACATCTGGGTCACCGCTGCATCGCAGCTCCAGGTTCATCTGACCGTCCGGGAAGCAGCGGTAAAAGAAGTCTGGTCGCGGCCTGAAGGCATAAACAGAGGCACAGAGAGGGAGAGCAGAGGATAAATTTAGGCTTCAGTTCACTGCAACACACGCTTAAAATCCTGATCCACTGTGTGATGTTCCCCGCTTACCTGCCGACAACGAGTTTGATGGCATTGGTGAAAACTCCGTTCAGCACCAGAGTCAGCGTCACAGCTGGATGACAGGGGAGACAGAACTGAATCATGAAAAAGACGAGTCAACTCAGAAAGCTAGTTGACGCATTTTAAAATGAAAAAACAAAAACCTGCGTGTGTTTCTTACCCAGTGAGGCTTCTTTCAGATCTCCGCGCTCCGACTTGTTCAGGTAGGTGAAAACCAGGATGACAATCAAGGGGGTGAAAACCGCCACGCTCTGACACAGAAACAGAGAAGAGCAGAAAAACCAGTCAGTTTACTGTGAAATTAGGAGCAACAGCTACATATGACGCTTCCATTGTCAGCAATTAGAACCACAAATATCATCAGAGGTACCAAACGTGTGCAATCTTCTTCCAACATCATCCGCCTACATTACCCACAATGCCACTCAGCCAGCTCTGCCAGAGATTTAGATCCTCATAGCAGCTATTGCAGCCTCCAGCCACGTGTCAGAAGATGTGGGATTAAAAAGCTGCGGTAGGATCACTTTTCTGTAACGCCACACCTTCAGATGTGCTGAAGTCATTTATCCAACTTGATCCGACCGGATCTCCCTCCGGAGCCACAAAGGATTTACACGTCAGCAGCTCTACACAACAACACCTGCACACAGAAACCTGCACGACACCGCTGGACTTCTCCTCATGCATCTGCTTGTATGCGTGTGTAATATAAAAGTAAATAACAAAAATTTGCCTCTTTGTGCTCTTGAGCTGTCACTAAAAGGGATAATGCTCGTGTTTACATCAGTATTTCATTACTCAAGGACAGCCTCAAGCAACCATCACGTCCCTGTGATCTGAAATTCTCTGATTCCAGCTTCGTAAACGTGAACATTTCCTGGTTTCTTTGCTTTTTTTATGACAGTAAGCTGACTATCAGGAGGGGAAAGTTGAACCGATGCACTTACAAACATGAGCGAGGTGGGCACGTGGTCTCTCTCCACGCGATGGAACTTGTACAGCCACATCTCCTCCGCCTGGATCTCTCGGTAGAAAGGAGGAAGCTGCTCCGTCACACTGAGAACAAACAGTATTAGTGTTTGTTTTTCCACAATAGAAACAAAAAACAATACCTGCATTATAAATGACGGATCAACAGGCATGGACGGCTGTTAATCAACTTACAGGAACACCACCAGCAGCGCCAGCCGGACGGAAACCTCCGACAGGAACCCGCGCAGCAGCCTCCTCTTCATGTTGTTTCTTGGAGTGGACTTCAGTCGACAGCAAACATCGTCACGCCGCCTTCGCTGAACTGAACTGGGACTGAATGAAATAGAGGAACTGGGTTTTAGTTTATACAGTGAGTGATCTGAGGGTTAAATGGAAAAAATTGGTCTAAATGATCATAATAATAATGATAAGAAGATGATGAGGACACGTCTATTACTGACTAGCTGTTATCTTATAAGATTAAAGCCTGACTGCTGAATGAGGGGCTGCAAGGCGGCTCAGTGGTTAGCACCGTCGCCTCGCAGCTAGAAGGTCGCTGCTTCGCATCCCGGTGAGGACACCCGGGATCTTTCTGCGTGGAGTCTCCATGTTCTCCCGGTGCAGCGTGGGTTCTCTCTGGGTTAATCCTCACTAGGGTCATGGGGGGCTGGAGTCTATCCCAGCTGACTCAGGGTGAAGGCAGGTTCACCTGGACAAGTAACCAGTCTATCACAGGGCTACACTTAGAGACGGACAACCAAGCACACTCACATTCACACCTACAGACAATTTACAATCACCAATTAACCTCAACATGTTTTTGGGAGGAGGCCGGAGAACCTGGAGAGAACCTACGCTGCATGGGGAGAACATGCAGAAAGATCCCGGGTGTCCTCACCGGGACGCGAACCGGCGACCTTATTGCTGCGAGGCGACGTTGCTAACCACCGAGACACCTTGCAGCCCAGTTTTGAAACTCTTATCATTTTTTCAAGCTAATTTTTCTCCTGTAATGCTCGAATACCCAAAACATTTAAGGGAACCCTATCAGCTTATGTTTATGTAAAAAATAATCACTCCTGAAGCTCTCCATGCCCACACAGGTCCTCCACTTCACAGGACTGTGTTGTGAGAAGGTCCACACTGAGCTACGTTCTCCTGATGTGCTATTTCTGTACAGATATTGTTCTCGTGTTTATCTGTTCTCCGTCTGCTATTGTGGTTCTCTCACCCGTTTAGCCTCACCCTAACCGGTTGAGGCAGAGCTTGGTTCTGCTGGAGGTTCTTCCCTCTGGGTAAAGGGGAGTTTCCTCAGCGCTGGCTCAAAGGGAATTCACAGGAAAGTTTGTTGGGTTCTCTGTATACACACTGTGTGAAGCACCTTGAGACGCTATAAATGTTAATTGTGCTGGAATATAAATAAAAGTAATCTGAATTGAATGCTTCTGGCTTTAAATGTATGTCAGTGCAAGAAAGCATCCTTATGGTATTAAGAAACATGTGAGTGTTAATTTAAAATCACAGTCAAGTATTAAATCTTGTGTGACATATAATGACCCCTGTACTTTAGTTTACACTTGTCTGCAAGAAGTTAAAAAATTAAAAAAAATAAAATAAAAAAAAGGAAAATGTTCTTCTTTATACAATACATCTCTTAAACGTGTCCTGTCAGTGAGCATCAGATAAGATGCTGTTAATGTCGTGTCAGTGTTTACTGTGAAGCTGCTGCTCCGTCTGTTTAAAGGCCAACATGCTGCACCTGTGCCCTCCACGTCCAGGTGAGACACATAAACAAGAGCTATCTATATAAATATAACATTAACCAGGTTTTAATTACATCAAACTAGCCCTACAGTCTGTCAGTACACAGAAAACGAGAAAAAATCCAAAGCTAGCATCAGTGACTCTGTGGAAAGTATATGTTAGCACACTGGGCTAAGCTAGCTAGCAACATCTGTCAAACAAGACATCTGGCCCAGTTCCGCATCGCCAAACAAGGGATAGCAACTCCGGTACTGACCTCAACCGGGCCGGTATTTTATCTCTTTATCCTCATATTAACATGTTCCGTTAACACGAACCGGGCCTCGACATCCTCTGGTTCTGCCGACGGTGAAAGTCGCGCATTTGAGGACTTGAGAGAAGCAGAGATGCCGCGGAGGATTGGAGCGGCGCGTCAAGCTACCGGATACAACACACACATCCGGTAAAGCTTTTCAATATAAAACATAGTAACTTAACTGAGGCTCAAACAAAATTAGATTCAAAGAAATAAATGCAACTCACTCGCTTTATATAACATGTGTTCCCAAATCTGTACTTTAAATTACATTTGAAGTTTAAAGTAGTTG